TTATGCCTAAAGTCAGACTTGGGTTCATGTATAGGTATGTGTCAGCTGTGCTAGCTGTTGGATATATTTAGACTAATTAAGTTCGTTGGAGAACAATTGAATGGGCGGGGGGAAGGCATGGAGGGCAACCATGGATGCCAGGGACAATGGAGGAGGAGGATGGGACATAGCAGAGGGTGGGGGATGGGGAATCAAGGATGGCAAAACAAAAGACAAGGTATGCAGGACATTAAGAATTGGAAAATTATTTGCTGAGAACATGTATGTTGATGTGCTTGATTGAGCCAATGCACAGTGTATTTTGGATGGAAAATTCACTTGTGTGTTGTGATGGTGTATAGTGAATTAATGTAGAAAATGAATAAATTTAATAATAATAAAAAAAAGGAATCAGGCTGGCCCTGAAGCTTGACAGTTATGGGAGCCAGATCCCACATGGCTGACCGTGGCGGTAATCCCGGCTCCGGTGGCTTGGAAAAAAACACCAGGCTCACGTGCATGCACACTCAAATTCTCACCAGGATGGAGAAATGGAGAAGAGGGATTACAGCATGACAACACCCCAGTGACAGGTACTTTCTCCCTCAGCCCTTGTTTTTTTGGTAAGTGGACACAATCTCAGGCGAAATAAATAAATACATAAATAAATAGGAAGAAGGAAAGCTTACATATAAAGTATGGATCCACAGAACACTACCTACCAATGTCCCTGTTAGGGGGGCGTTCATGACGAAGAAAGAAACGGACTTCATTCCTCTGACTTCCAAATCTTTGAAGAATATCAAACATTCGCTCATTATCGGCAACTGGACGTTCTAAAAAGATGAACAGAAATCACATTATCTTCAGGTAAAACAAAGACAAAAATATCATTTGCCCTCTATGCATGCAAATTATACATCATGGATATAGAAAATATTAAGCATCTTAATTTTTTTTGTTAAAAGAACTCTTAGAAAATGAAGTATCTTAGCCCACAGGCAGTCAGTGTCAAACCAGAATGCAGTACTGAAAAAAAGAACGGCGCTGGTTCAGCTGCCAGGAGCTCCAAAGTCTAAACCAGTGGGCTCTTTACGACCCACAGTCATGCCATTTAACTTCTGGAATTTACTAGATCAGACAGTCTAGTCCCTTAAAAAGCTAATCTTCAGGACCAGTAAATGACATAATGGTTACATCACTGGACTCCCACAGATCTGACCCCAGTTCGAGTCCCAGGTCCGGTGGCTTAGAACTCACACTAGGCGTGTGTGCATGTATGCCCAACATCTCAAGAGCATGGAGAAGGAACTGCAGCGTGGCTGTCCCCCTGAGAGGTTGATTTCTCACTTTCTGTCTCTCTGGCTCGCCAGTGAGCACACGTGCCCTATAGCAAAAATCTCTCTCTCAAAAAAAAAAAAAAAAAAAAAAATTAAATTTTAAAAAAGCTAATGTTCTATGATTTTTCTAAACACACAAAAAAGTAATTATAAAGCAACTTTCTAGGGACCACATGGTGTAAGATAAGATACTCTGCAAGGCAATCCCACATGGAAATTGGGAAACCTCCCTAAGAATGCCAGGTAGGCCTGTGCCCATGACCCAGAGCTGGCTGAGGCTGGGGGTCACCACCCCACACAGCACCACCCAACAGGTCATACCACTGTGGGGCGCTGTCTCTCTCGTTCATGGAAGAAATAAGTAAATAAACTTTAAAAAAAAAAAAAAAAAGAGCAACTTTATAATAGCCCAGTCTTTTTCTTTTTTAATTACAGTTTTTATACAGGTTATTTCATTCAAGATATGTAGACTTACCTATTTCCCAGTAAAGGGCTACCTAAGGTTGTCGGAAAAGTCATGATGTATTTTTTTTCTATGTTTTTCTACACAAAAATACATCATGACTTTTCCAATGACCCAATATTTGGCCCCTCTTCCAGGGAGACTGCCTGCAGTCAGAACATTCTGGAGACAAAAAGAAGGGCATAATGAAATACCCTAGTAAAAATGAGAGCTTCAGGAAAAACAGCGCATCTCAAGCTCACTTCAAAAAAATCTCACTTTAAGGGTCAGAAGAGAAAACCAAACATACAGCTTCAGAAGATAACTGCTTAAAGTTCCAGCAATATCAAAATAATGTCAAATATAAGAATACTGAAGTAGCCTAAGAAAGCTCAACACACTTATCGGTAATCAGAGACACTATCTCAGGGCCTTAAATAAACAAGGTGAGCAGAGAAAGGGAGCAGCCAAGCCATCAGCAGCCAGTTTTGTAAACTAAGCCTGAATTTAATCTGCTTGGTTGTAACAAACAAAAGTACAGTTCTGGTCCTGCTTCCAGCTATAGAACATACTGGGTTGACACAGAAATCTCCTTTCTGGGGGTCAGCAGGTGGCGTGATGGTTAAGGCACTAGACTCCCACATGGCCAACCACGGTTTGAGTCTTGGACCTTGCAGCTTGCTCTCTCACTTTCCTCTCTCTCTCTCTCTCTCTCTCCCCTCTCACTAAATTTTAAAAAATAAATAAAATTAAATTAAATGAATAATTTTTAAAAGAAATTCCCCTTCTGTAATTCACAAGAATTTTATTCCTACAAAGGAATACCCATACTGAAGAGATAACCCCCTAAAGAAATTCTGAGTAAACCCTCCAGGCATCCCCCCAAATGCACAGACCCTCTCAACACGAGCTGCACTCCAAAGAAATGACCTAAAATCTCCAGGTTCCAGGAGCAAACAGAACTCAAAGGAAGTGAGGTAACTTCCAGTCATGCTGGGCTGCCCAGGAAGGGTTATAATCCTTCTTACAAGCTGTAGGCGCTAACGTCCTGATGGTTGTGACAGCAGATGACCAGGCTTTAGCTGGTGCCACAGAAACAGACGCTTCTCGGAGCTCCCCGCTAAAACCCTGTGCTCCCACCCCTCCACCTTTGTGCGGCCTCGCTGGCATGCCTCACTGGGCCCACGCGCCTCTCCTGCAGAGGCAGGGAGTTCTTCCTGCATTATCACATTCCGTCGTCAGTATCTGCTCATATTTGCTTCTGTTTCTGTGCTGTACAACACCTGAAGGCAGGGAACTGTCACCTCTGCATCCCTCCCACAGTCCCTAGCTCAAACATGATACCCAAGATATGTCACTCAGCAAAGAATGGTGAGGAAATGGAAGAGAAAAAGAAACAAAATGAACGGAAAAGAATTTCTAATATTTAAGAGAGCGAAATGATAGAAGAATACATTTACAACTCTGGAGTAGGAATTTTTGTCGTTGTCATTAGAGATTTTTGCTATAGGATGTGTACACTTACCAGAGGGGCAGACAGAGACAGACAGAGAGAGAGAAAGCAAGAAAACACCCACACACACACACACTGGGGATGACCACATTGCAATCTCTTCTCTTCCATTCTCCTCTTGGGATTTTGGGCATGCAGGCACATGACCCGGCATGAGTTTTAAGCTATTGGGTCCGGAACTCAAACTACAGTCAACTATGTGGGAGTCCAGCAACTTGGCCATTATGCCGCTTTATCTTCTGGCCCCAGAATTTTTTTTTTTTAATGAACAGACAAAGAGGCCTGAGATCCAGAACAGAGTTTTGAAAACATCTACAAATCAAGATAGAAAGGCAAAAGCTAGAGGAAGCATGAACACAGGATATTAAAAAAACATGGGTGGGGCCAGCAGGTGACATGGTGGTTAAGGGTGCTAGACTCCCACATGGCTAACCATGATTTGAGTCTCAGATCTGGAGCTTACTTTCTCTCTCTCTCTCACTCTCTCTCTCTGTGTCCCTCTCCAATCAAATTAAAATAAATTAAGTTAAATAATTCTTTTTAAAAAATGGGGAATAAAGTGGAAACCCAAGTGACCAATAACCAAATGAAAAAATGAGCAACTTTACTTTTAATCAGAAAAATGCAAATTTAGGTGCCAGCTGGTGGCATAGTGATTGAGGTACTAGATTCCCACATGGCCAACCACAGTCCAAGTCCTGGACCCAGTGGCATGAAACTCACATCAGGAACATGTGTGTGCATGCCCAAGATCCTGAGAGGAGAATGGAGGAGAAGGGATTATGATGTGGCCATCCCCCCTGGAGGTGATGTTTTGCCTTTTGTCTGTCTGTCTCTTCAGTGAGCACACACATCCTATAGCAAAAATATATAAAATAAAAATGCAAATTTAAACAAAAGACATGTTTTTATCTATCAGTTTAGCAAAAGTTTAAATATAATCATTGATAGGGCATTTTTTTTCTTTTTCTTTTTTTTTTGGAGAGGTTGTTGCTATAGGGCACATGCGCTCACCAGAAAGAGAGACAAAAAGTGAGAAATCACCCCTCAGGGAGGATGGCCACGCCGCAATCCCTTCTCCTCCATTCTCCTCTCGGGCTCTTGGGCACACCAGCACACGCACCCGGCATGAGTTTAAGCTGCCAAGTCCGGGACTCAAACCACGGTCGACTACATGGGAGTCCAGCAACATAGCCATTACGCTAACTGTTGGTCCCAATAGGGCATATTTTAGAAAAAACTGCAAGGTATATTCCCAATAGGGCATATTTTAGAAATAACTGCAAGGTATATGAATTGATATAACTTGTATGGAGGAAAATCTGGTAAATATGTATTTTTAAATGTGTGAACCTTAATAGTAATTTCCTCCATTACGGTAACCTTTTCAATATTCATATGTATCCTATAACATCATTTCACACACCTTAAGTGTAGACAAGAAAATTTATTTGTTTATTTATGTATTTATTGAAAGGTTTTTGCTATAGGGTGCATGCACTTGCCAGAAAGACAGAGAGAGACAGAGAGACAGGAAATGAGAAATCGCCCCCTCCCAGGAGGGATGGCCACACTGCAATCCTTTCTCCTCCATTTTTCTCTCAGGGTCTTGGGCATACACGCACATGTGCCAGGCATGAGTTTAAGCCATCGAGCCTGGGACTTGAACCACAGTCTACTACACAGGAGTCCAGTGCAGTGATGTAACCATTATGCCATCTTCTGGTCCCCAAAATTAATTTTTTTTAGAAAAACTGTGTGACAGGACCAGCAGATGGTGTAATGGTTACATCACTGTACTCCCACGTAGTCAATCATGGTCGAGACCCAGACCCAGCATCTTGAAACTCGTGCCGGGCACGTGTGTGTATGAGCCCAAGATCCTGAGAGAAGAATGGTGTGCCACCAGGCCCCCCCCCCCGGGGGGGGGGTGGCGGTGATTTCTCACTTTCTATCTCTCTCTGCCTCTCCAGTGAGCGTACATGCCCTATAGCAAAAGTTTCTCTCAAAAAAAGAAAGAAAGAAAAAAAGAAAGAAAAAACTGTGTGAACCTTTAACCAAGGAATTCCACTTCCTGTTACCTACCCTAAAAAAAATGCTTGCACACAATCAGACTGGCTCCTAAAAAGACTTTCACTGAAGTGTTTATTTTATTTATTTATTTTTTTTGGGGGGAGAGGTTTTTGCTATAGGGTGCGTATGCTCGCCAGAGAGACAGAGACAGAGAGAAAGAAAGCAAGAAATCACCCCCCAGGGAGGATGGCCATGCCGCAATCCCTTCTCCTCCATTCTCCTCTCGGGATCTTGGGCACACACTCACACGCACCTGGCGTGAGTTTAAGCCACCGGGTCCGGAACTCGAACCACGGTCAACTACGTGGGAGTCCAGCGGCATAGCCATTGTGCTAACTGCTGGTCCCTTAAGTGTTTATTTTTAAAAAGAGAATTTAGGACAGCAGATAGTATGGAGGCAAAGGTGCCGGTTTCCACGTGGTCGACTGCATGGTTCGAGTCTTGGACCCAGCAGCTTGAAAATCATGTCAGGCACATGTGTGTGCATGCAGAAAATCCCAAGAGAAGAAGGGACTGTGACATGGTTATCACCCCTGGGGAGTGATTTCTCCCTCTCCCTCCTCCTCCTCCCTCCTCCTCCTCACTCTTCCCCTACCCTCCCCTCTCCCTCCCTCTCACTCTCTCTCTCTCTGTCTCTCTCTGGCAAAGGCATGTGCCCTAATGACAAAAAAAAGTCATAAAATTTTTTTTAAACATTGTTCATCATCATCACATAGTCAGGGTTACTGAACTCAACTGAGTAAGATACTACAGAGGAAAAGAAGAGTGGAATTCAGAGTTTCAGAGGAAGAGAGTAAACCCTGGTGGGTGGAGTATCTTTCTCTAAAAGGGTGAGGAAAGGGCTAGCTGCACCGAAGTAATGTCAGGTACAGAGGAAGGAAACTGAGGACACTCACAAGGGCCAGCTTCAATTATACTTGGTAAAGTACAAAGTAAGGTAGTCTGTTCAAAGCAAGGAGACTACCAGCAGCAGCTAGGAGCTTGTTTACTTATTCAGTAAATACTTAACTGAATATCTGCTAGGTATCAGGCACTCCGCTTGAGCTGGAGATATAGCAATGAATAAAATAAACAAGGTCTCAACTCTTCTAGTGCATGTATTTGGGGCTATAGGGATTAAAAGGCAATAAACTAATAAACACACCCAAAACTAAGAGTGACATGACTTCTGCAGAGAACTAAGTCAGGGTGATATAACTGAGAGATAACTTCATAGCCATTTTTAGCAGAGTACCCAGCAAAAGTCTCTGCAAAGAAGTAACATCTCAGCTGAAATCCCAAAGGCCAGAAGGAACCACTAGTGACAAAACCACAGGGAGAGCAATCCCGGCGGTGCAGATAGCTACTGCCAATGGCTCAAAGGGAGGAGAGAGCTGAGAGTATTCTAGGAATGTTTTAAAAGCTATGGAGGGGGCAAAGAAGGAAATAGTGCCAGATGACAGCAAAGACAACAAATCTGTAAGTCTTCACAATCTGAGATAAGAAGTTTAGAAGAGAAGCCACTAAAGAGCTTTAAGCAGGAAAGTGAAATTACCCATTTTCGTTTTTAAAATATCACTTGGGTTTATTTACGCAAACGTCTTAGTAAACGAGCTACTATGTAAATAAGAATAATTCCAAGTACAGAAGACCTCAAACACCCAACCATAGGAAAGTCAACCAAGGATGAGTAAGATACTTGCCTGGAAAAAACTGAAGGCTCAGCTGAAAGTATCTATCAAGGATGGCACAAACCCAGAACTCATATATACTTACTCCGGGGCTAGTGGGCACTGACCAAGGAGAAAACGGAACCTGTGGGAGGTTGCCCAGGCCGTGAAGGAACCATACAAAAATGAGGAAACATTACTCTCACATCCACAAACTCCCATGAGGTCAAAAGGAAAGCGGGCTCTCGCCCTTAAGAATGCCAATGCAGCACACCAGGGACTGACTCCAACGCTCACGATACTGCATGAATTCGATACTGCGTGAATTCTATACTGCCATCTGCCATTACAGTTCCTCAACACTACATTGCTTACCCTAAAACCTACCAAAACTTAAAGAAGAGAAAAACCAATTGGGCCTCAAATATCCAATTAAGTAAAATCTAAACATACAAAAAATATTTTGAGCACCATGCTTTTGACCACAATGCCCCAGGAGCTGTCCTATGACCTTTTTTATTTTACTGTGGTATCTTCGCTTTATTGCAGAAAAACAGCAAAAAGCCTTTATATGTCACAAAAATGTTGGATTGAGAACACTATCTCCTGATGGACACAGGGTCCCTTCTATGAACCCAAATTAGTAAGAGACAGCAGAACCAAGGCATAAGAGTGGGCCAGTTACATAGCACAGTGGTTAAGCATGATGCAGAGGAAGCCAGGGCCCATATGGTCTGCCAATGTTCGAATCCTTATCCTGCTGACTTGAAAACCATGCTGGGTGTGTACGTGCACACACCCAGGAGAGAGAACTGGTGAAAAAAGGGCTGTAGTGTGACTAGGCCCACTGGGGTGGGGGTACTTTCTCTCCCTCCTCTTCTCCCTCCCTCCTGTCATCTCACTGCCCACCTCCCTCACATGCATGCAAAGTCCCTCTAGCATAAAAAACAAATAAAACACAGCACTGTTCCTTTCATACCAGAGCCGCACCACACTTCAGCCAAATGGCAATCACTCTCTCCGGGTTCTTTGCACAGATCCACCACATCTCTGCATATTGTTTCTGTAGTGACTGGAACTTCTGTGAAGTGCTGCTCATTGTTACTCAGGTACACTGTAAGAAACATCTAAAAATTAAAAGAGAAACAACAATTACCAGTACTGTCTGCATTAGTGGCATTCACCTTAGAGGCATTTTTTCCAAACAAAATCTCAGTTAGTGCAAATGTACATAATAACTTAAGTCTGGCTGTCTCCTGACCAATGTTGGGGGAGGGACCTGGAGCTGGACCAGCTGGACCCTTGCCCTTCACAGGCAAAGCTTGCAGAACCTTGGAGACCCTGGAGTACTCAAGTTCAAATCAACACAAAAGTTCAAATAAAACGACCTTTTATGTTACTTATATAATACTTATGTAGTTTTTAGTATACTACATATTATAAACAAATCGTATAAAGGTTTGATTAAAGACTATCAAATGGGACCAGCAGGTGGCATGAAAGTTAAGGTGCTAGATCTCACATGGCTGGTTGTATGGTTCAAGTCCCAGACCAGGCAGCTTAAGAATCATGCCAGCACAGGTGTGCGTGTATCCAAAATCCTGAGAAGATACTGGAGGGAAAGGGACTGCAGCATGGCCCCCCTCTGGGGTCATAGTGCCTGCCAACATTCACACACCTCCCCTTCCAGCTTAAGCTTCTCACTCACTAACCCAGAGTTGAGAAAGCAGTGTTAGGCTGTTCTTTGTAAAAAGGCAGCACCTTCGCCAGCCAGTGGCGTGGTGGTTGGGGCAGCTGGACCTACATGGCTGGCTGTGCAGTTCGAGTCCCAGACCCAATAGCCTGCAGAACATGCTGGGCACGTATGCAAAAGCAGAAATGGAGAAGAGATTGCTGCGTGGCCATCCCCCATAGAGGGCGCTCTCTCACTTTCCCCTCCTCTCTGTCCCTCTGGTGGGTGCATGCACCCTCTGACAAGACCTTTTTTTTAAAGAAAAGAAAATAAGAAAAAGGCAGTGCCTGATTAGGTCTGATGATAGGAACTGGCCAGACATTGGACAGATGCCCTAAGATTGGGTCAGGATAAGAGGCGACATGCATAAGAGAAAGAACAGGCCTGGGCCTTTGTAGCTCCTCCTTGCACTAAAACACCCTATGTTTCTTAAAATTGTCCTAGTGTCCACTTTCTCAATCAAAACTTAACTCATATAAACACATATATAACATACAGGTAAGCCCAGAAAAATGAAAATGGTAGATACTGTTGAAACAATAAACAAAAATATACTGGGGGTGGGGGGTAGAGAACTGTATTGAATTCCCCAGTATGAGCTCAGAAGCTTTCAAGCTAATTATCTCGGGCTTTTCGCATCCTGAAAAACTGCACTACATAAAGAACACAGTTCTAGACCTCAATTTACAAAGCCAACAAGGTGGTACTTAAAACTGCTACACAAGTGTCATAAGGCTTTGACAAAACCACTTGAAAAAGGTAACAAAGATGAACTAAATTCCCAGAATGCCACCCTGCTGCCATGCTGGCCAAAACACACAGCACACTTGGTGATGGGGACAAACAATGTACACTTCCATAGTAAATAGTTCTCACCCACACAAAACTTTCTTTGAAGTTTACCACTTCAAAAATAGTAACTGTTTTATTGTAAATATGAGTCTCAAAGGTATGTATAAAATTACAGAAATACTTGATTCACAGTGTATACTGAACATGCACTATCCCAACGCATAAAAGGCTACGAGGCGAGATAACAACACCTATTTCTGCATACTTGTTCTTTCAGAGCACTTTCACACACATTATCTCAGAAGCTGAAGTCAGCTCTCAGATAAGCAAAGCAGGTATTACTTTTTTCTTTATCAGTGAAGAAAAAGGGAACAGCAGATGGTGTTAATGGTTATGTTGCTGGACGCTCACATAGTTAATCAAGTCCCAAACCCATTGGCTTAAAATTCACACTGGGTGTGGAAGCATGCATGCTCAAAATCCTAAGACGAGAAGGGAGTGCGGCATGGCTATTCACCCTGGGGAGTGATTTCTTGCTTTCTGTCTTTCTCTCTCTCCAGCAAGTGCATACATCCTATAGTAAAAATCTCTCAAGGAAAAAAAAGACTGAGAAGTGATTTACTTGGCTACTGAAAAGAGAAGGTCAGAGTATAATTTTGTTCTTCTAATTTATCCTCTAATCTTTTTTAAAAGTTGTGTTCTTTATTCCTTTCCTTTCTTTTAATGTTAAAAAGGCATATGCATGCAGGAGACAGACAGAAAGAGGCAATGGGGCATAGTCACACCATAATCCTTTTTCTTCCATTTCTCCATCCTGTCAGGATTGCAGGCATGCATGGACATGCACCAGCATATTTTTAAGCTGCTGGGGCCAGGATCTGAACCATAGTAAGTCATGTGGGATCTATCTGACCCCTTTAACCACTAAGCTATGGGACCAGTCCTTTCTTTCTTTCTTTCTTTCTTTCTTTCTTTCTTTCTTTCTTTCTGCCATGAGTAAGAATGACAGACAGACAGATGCACATACACACGCACACACACAAAATCATCTTTAACAGGACTTCCTCTAGCCCTCCAGCCAGCCAGGATTACGGGAGTGCATGCCAATACACACAGGTTGACTAAGGAACCAAACGCACAGTCTTCCACACAGATCCAACAAGCTTGAGCAGAGCATTACCACTGTGCCACTCAGGCAGCTCTATCTTCTAGTCTTTTAGCTGTCCTCTACAGTAGGAAAATATCATGAAATGCTTGGTACTTAACTATTGTACAGTAATCCAAACTTTAATAGTGATCTGATCTTTTACTTCCTGAAAAAACAAAAGGTTCACTTTTTTTTTAGATTTATTTTATTATTATTATTTTTTAATTTGTGCAGAGATAGAGTAAAAGCAAGCCACCAATTCTGGGGCTCAAACCGCAGCCTGCCATGTGGGAGTCCAGTGCCTTAACCACCACGTCACCTGCTGGTCCCCCAATATGTTCACTTTTTAAAAATTACAATTACAAATAAGGATGATGAGAGCCGTGTTCTATTTATGGTTAATTTTCCCAAAGGATTAATACTGGTGTGAATGGTGACCATTTCTCCCTCCCACGAATGACAACTCTATTGTGAGCTCAGTTACAGTGACACAGTCCCTGATCTGGGCCAGTAGCATGACATACCTGTGGAATCCCAGGCTAGAAATCTGGTTCAAACTCCAAATCAGTTCATAATTAGTTAGACCACCTTAGGGAAGCAACATCACCTCTCTAAAAATCATCCTCTTCATCTTCAAAATATGAGACTTTAAGTCTCCAATAACTATTGGGTCATCAGAAAAGTCACAATGTATCTTTCTATGCAAAAACGTGTCGTGACTTTTCAGACAACCCAACATCACTTAACGTGTGTTCACCAGGCGCCGAGTAAAGGGCAGCAACAGTTGGCTGCACCAATACCTGTCATCTTACCTTTCCAGCTCGCATCTCCTTCTAACCCACCCCTTCCCTCTGCTCTAGCAATGTCCGCCTGGTTGATTCCTGAACACACCAGGCTGGTCTCCACCTGGGAGCCTTTGCACTGGTCAGAATGCTGCTCCTGTACACCAGCATAGCTCACTTCCCTCAGATGTCACCCTCTCAGGGATGATTTCTCTAGCCACCCTACCTAAAATTCCAACACCAAGTACAAACACACACAAACACACCCTAGCTCACTCCCTGGCTTTATTTCTCTCCTTGAGCAGAGTCATTCCCTAACATACCATGTATTTATTTATTTAGCTCACATTTATATAGTCTGACTTCTCTTTTTTCTTTTTTCTTTTTGAGAAGTTTTTGCTATAGGGTGTGTGCGCTCGCCAGAAAGAGACAGACAGAGAGACAGAAAGCAAGAAATCACCCCCCTGGGGGATGGCCACACCACAATCCCTTCTCCTCCATTCTCTTCTCGGGATCTTGGGCACACACGCATGCACATGCGCCTGGCGTGAGTTTAAGCCAACAGGTCCAGGACTCGAACCGCGGTCGACTACATGGGAGTTCAGCGACATAGCCATTACACTAACTGCTGGTCCCTAGCCTGACTTCTCTACTAGAATGTAATGTCCACATAGCCAAGGGCTTTGTCTTTTGTTCAGTATTGTACATTCAGCACTTAGAAGTTTTGTTTCAGGTACTGCTGAGAGGTATGGCATATAGTACATAGTATATAGCACGGCTGTTAAGAGGGGAATCCAAAAACTTCATGGAAAAGAGAATTAAAGTTTGAGGTTATCTTGGTATGAAAACATCTTAAAATCCATGTAGAGTTTTCATAAGACACATTTTCCATGAACTCTGGAAGACCCCCTCATAGACTCTGAGTTAAGAGTATAATGTCTCATTTTTTCAGCTCACATCCTGCTACAATCCTACCTCTTTTCCAACATTCTTTCCATTCATTCAGTATTTATAGATCACCTACTACTGTATGCCTGGCTCCTACTACAGAAATCATCTTTATTAAATAACTACACAGTATACAATACAAAATCCAAAGAGAATGAGAGAGCTGTATAGAAAAAAACAGCAGCTCAGGACAAAGTCTCAGGGAAGGTGCCAGGAATAACTACCCCACCTGAGCTCCCTCTCTTACCTACTCCTGCTACTGCCCCCTGACAGACCCATCTAGAAGCAGCTGGCAAGGGAAGCCCTGGGTGCCGATTACAGAAGTCAATCCTGGAGCACCAAGGAGGGTGGCAAAGGGTGCAGAATCCATCTGGAGAGGCGAACAAAAGATGCTCAGCTCGATAGCCCTCCTCTCCACACTCAAAGCCATGACTTCAACATCTACGCAATCAGAGGTGGCTCCTGAACAACCATCAAACTGACGAGGACACAGGCAGCTTAAGGTCTAGGAGCAGAATGGCCTAAGCAGAGGAAACAGTGAATGCAAAGACCCTGATGAGGGAAGGAGACTGTCACATCTGTGAGAAAGGCAGAGGTAGCAAGAGGAAAGGATTATAGGAGATTCTTTCTAAAGTGCCAAGTGGAGACTGGACCATTAAGACTGCAGAAGTTCTCAAACTTCTAGTGGATCGAGGGTTGTGGAACACAGAATGCAGGGCCTCCTCC